AAAAAAAAAAAAAAAAAAAAAAATCCCAGTTCACCAAGCCAATTAAACTAACACACTTCCAGAAATCTGATGCTAGGCGGCCATCCCATCATCCGTCAACTGACCGAAAAGTCCAATGTCGAACTGATCAACTCCCTACGTGCCAACTTCCAAGCCGCGCAGCAACAGCGCAGCGACGGGGCCACGACGACGGCGACAACGACAGCGAAAACAGAGCAGGGAACACCGCGCTACGCATCGTGGACGAAACAACATGACGACACCCTATACATCCCATCCACAGAGTTCGGGTACGGGCTGTCGGAGGAGCGGTCGGCGTACGACATCACCGTCAAACTCTTCTACCTGCCGGGGATCCCGGCGTCGCGGCGGTGCGCGCACACGCGGGAGGCGATCGACCTCGTGCTCCGGGAGCTGCACGTTGACTCGATCGATCTGCTGATTGTCTCGTTTCCGGGGATCTTGTTCGATGCGGATGATGATAGCGAGGTGGAGGAGGACGAGGACGAGGACGCGGACGGGGCCGCCGGGTCGTCGGATGCCAGTAGCGAGGAGGATGATTTCGACAGTATCGTCCAGACGTGGCGGACGCTGGAGGGGCTGCAGGCGCAGGGGATGATCAAGCAGCTGGGCGTGGCGGAGTTTGGCAGCGAGCGGCTGGCGCGCTTCCTGCCGCACACCAAGGTCAAGCCGTCGGTGGATCAGATCAACCTCAAGGACTGCTGCGTGGTGCCCAAGTCGTTGATCCTGTACGCCAAGCAGGAGCGGATCCAGCTACTGACGCACAACGACTGCATGGACATCCTGCCCGTGGGCACGACCCGGGAGCTGCTGGGGCCCGGCGCCAAGGGCGCGGGCATCCTCGCCTCGGCGCCGGACGCGGACGACGGCATCCAGGGCGATGTGGCGCCGCAGTGGGTGGTCAAGTACACGGCGGTGGTGAAGGATCGCGGGGTGGTGGAGAACAAGGGCTACTTTGCACTGGCGGACGTGGGCAGCTGCGTCAAGCCGTGATGTGATGATATTGTTATCTGCAAGCATTCCACGATTTGCATGGGGCAGCGCGGCGTTTCTTTCCTTCTTTCTTTCTTTTTTTTTGTGTACTTCCTTGAAACTTAGTGATGATAAATGAAGCATAGTTCTATCATTTCCTCTATCCCCATCAAACCAGTCTCCCCCCCTCCCTTTTTCAAGTAAATGAACAAGCCTTAGCCCAACATACTCTTCTTCCTCCCGCGCAAGCGCACCTCCTCCAAACGCTTCAACACCGATGCCGCCCCGCGATAACTAGCGCGATACCCGTCCAACACCTCGGCGAAGAACGCCTCCGTGCGGGGATGGGTACTCCCAAACGCGCGTTCAAGCACATACAGGTCCACCGCGCGATCCTCATCCTGGACACTCTGACTCGCGAGGCCGAAATCGATGAGCACGACCTCGCCCTCCAGATCCACCTCGCCCTCGCCCTCGCCCTCCCTCTCCTTTCTGGATGACGCAGGCCTCAGAATGAGATTACTCGTCGTCAAATCCCCATGGATCACCCCAGCCGCATGCAACCGGCCAACGGCGGCCCCAATCCGCCGCAGCAGATCCTTCATCCGCTCCTCCTCGCGCTTGCGCTCCACATGCCCGTGGTCGCCATGGTCACCATCCACCTCCATTTGCACCTCTGACCCAGACCCAGACCCAGGACCCCCATCGGCCTGTCTCCGCCGAGACGAAGGGCTGTGATCGTTCGCCGCGAACCGCGCCAGCATCGCCCGCTCCCACGCCTGCACCACCACCCGCACCACATCGCCCTCCACCCACTCCATCAGCAGCCACGCTCCGCCGTACCGCTCCTCGCCCGTGGCCGCGTCCACGACCACCGTCTGCCCCTCCCAGTCCACCGCGTACAGCGCCGGCACCGCCACCCCCTCGCGCACGAGCTTGGCCAGACACCGGGCTTCCTGGAGGATGCGCTGGCGCGTCAGGCGCCGGTCCAGGACCGGGTGGCGGTAGGGTTTCGAGGGCCGGATCTTCAGCGCCGCCGGGTGGGTGGTCGCGTTCAGGTAGTGGGTCTTGTAGAGGTGGGCTTCGGCGCCCTGCGTGAGGAGGATCGGTGGGGGTGGTGTTGTTGTGGTTGTAGTTGTGGTGGTAGTGGTGGTGGTAGTAGCTGGTGATTGTGTGCGGTGTTGGTGGTGGTGGTGGTGGAAGGGCGGGGGGAGAGGTGGGGGTTGGTATTCTTCGGTCATCTTGGTTGTTCTTGATCGGTAAGACGTAGGTCGGGTTCGTTGAGTTCGTCGGCTGATAAAGAGGGTAATGTGAAGCTATGTAGGCAGGTGGGTTGGTCAATTGAGACTGAGTGAGTGGTTAGGTGAAGCGAGAAGAAAAAGGTTAAGGTAGGTTGAGGTTGTATAGACACTGGCGGAAGAGGAACGAACGGCAATGCGAAAAGTTCTGGCGGGGCCTTTCCTCCCGCCGCGGTTATTAAGCGCTGTCCGCATTTGGCTGTCAACTACAATGTGGACGGCCTACTAGGTACCTGACTACCCTGGTAGACTATCTATGCTGTTATGCTGTTGACTCTCAAGATTGCTACTGCTTCACTCACTACACTCATACGCCCCACAACAAGCAAGCATCCATGATATCTTATTCAGACTCATTGGATCGTCTTTCGTCTGCTCGTAAAATACAAGACAGCCGCCTACCTCGCGGTAATCGCTAAATCATGACTGTACAGTACACTACTAAACGCCTGGTATGCGACCGACTTTTCCGTGTCCAGAATCAAATCCCTTTTATACAAGCCCCCTCCTGGCCTCAAGCCCGCGCCTTGCGCTTCGCCCGCGCCCGCTCCAGAGGTGCCTCGTAGACATCCGTCCACGCGTCTTCGAACGTCGTCTTCCTCGGCCCAATCTGGCCCTCGAAGAAGTTCATCTTGCGTACAACTTCCATCGCACCGGTACCCAGCGACACCGTCTTGCCCATGATGATACACTCGGACACACCCTCGATCAGATCCGTCCGGCCGGCACCACCAGCATCGAACAGATGGTCGGCGGTCTTTTCGAAGGACGCCAGCTGCAGGACCGAGTCACGCATCTTGGCGAGACCGAATCGCGTAATACCCAGAACTTCACCCTTGTAGGTCATGACGTCGGCCAAAAGCTGCATGTGTCGGGGATCAATGTCCATGTCCTTCATGACCTCGCTAATTTCCTGGACGATCGTCGATCGGGCCGCTTCAATACCGAGCACTTCGCGCATCTCCATGATGTTGTTGGTGGTCGTGCGAAGACCGTCTACTCCCATCGTGGTCATACACGCCCTCAACCCGTAGCCTTCCACCAGAAGGGTGTTGGTCGTCGACGTCTCATCCGTTCGGATAATCGCACGGTAGGCCTGGGGGTGACCAAGCACCTGGATATCAGGGAGCATCCGCTTCAGATGCTTCAACCGCAGGAAAGGATCCGCACTCGTGTGCGCAATCTCAGTCTTGGATAGAGATGCTTTGCTAGACGGCTCAACATCCATGTAGACGTGGATGTGTGAGCGCGAGCATCGGAACTTGAGATCGTCCGCCTTGAATCGCTTGTGGTTCTTGATCGCAGCCAGAATGTTCTCGATCTTCAGCTCCAGCGCCAGATCCTGGATAGTCTTCCAGTTGATCTTGACGGTGATGTAGGCTTCCTTGCCAGTCCATGTCTCGCGAACATAGTGGATAATGTCGCGAAGATACGTCTGCTCAATACGACCCTTGACAATACGGGCAGCAATGATGTTGTCCTTGGTGACCAGCTCGCAAGCAACGACAGGCGTACTGATCTCCTTGGAGGCGTTGATGATTTCCTTGATACGGGGGACACCCTGGGTGATACTCATACCGGCGACACCAGCAAAGTGGAAAGTCTTCAACGTCATCTGCGTACCGGGCTCACCGATAGACTGCGCACCGACGGCACCAACAGCATGGCCGGCTTCAACCTGAGCCTTCTTGTACTTCATCAAGCACTCCGTGATGAAAGTCCGCAGGGTGCGCTCAGTCAGCTTGCCCGTGTGGTTCAGACCCTTTTGACTTCTTTCATCAGAGGGATCGATGTCACCACCGCGAGAAATCAGCTTGTCCGCCTTGGTCGCAACGTACTGCTGGATGGACTCGAGGAAATCACGGGCACTTTCAAATTGGTCAATGCCGTGGTCACTGCGGTCCATGTAAGCCAAAGTGTTGCCCATCAAATCCTTCCGCACCAGCTTGGCACGTTCTTTCGACAGCATCTCCTCGCAGACTTCCATGATTTCAGCAGGAAGCAGACTCGGCTCGTCATTCGAGTAAGTGATGGATTCTGAATGGATGAAAGTCCGGTCAAAGTGAACGGGCTTGGCCTTGCCCTCCATATCCACCGGATCCAGCTTGTCGTCACCATACTGGAACTGGACAATCGCTGCGGACGAGTTGCGGACGGTATCATCGTACCTGGTGGAAAGATCTTCCAGGGACTTCATCAACCGACGAGACATATAACCGGTTTCGGCCGTCTTGACGGCAGTATCGACCAGACCTTCACGACCGGACATGGCGTGGAAGATGAATTCCGTAGGGGTGAGACCCGAGAAGAAACTGTTCCGCACGAAACCCTTCGATGGAGGCTGACGGGCATTCTTCGGGAAATGAGGCAAGGTTCGGTCTTGGAAGCCGTCCTGCACACGTTGGCCACCAATAATCTGCTGACCGACAAGGGCAACCATCTGAGACACGTTGATGCTAGAACCCTTCGATCCAGACGTAGCCATGATCAAAGGAGAGTTGTACTTGCTCAGTTGAGCGATACACTCGTCACCAGCCTGCTGACGGACCTTACTGAGAATACCAGACAGCTGGTTCTCCATAGTTTGCAACTCGTCACAACCAGGATACTTCTCAAGTGTACCAGCCTTGTACTTGGCAATGACCTCGTCACAGGCTGCGTATGCAGTCTCCACCAGATCATGTTTCGAGCGCAACAGCTTCTCGCTGGGATATACGTCGGTGATACCGATGGAGAAGCCCATGTTTGTAAACCAACGGGCCGACAATTTTGACAAGCGGTTCATACCCTCGGCAGCCGCCGCTGGACCGTAATCTCTCAGCATGATGTAGAACACGTTGTCCTTCTTTCCGGAACCGATAGTGGACTTATCCATCACACCACACATGACCTCGGAATTACGAATGACGAGCCAACCATCCTTGGGGTCGAGATCCTTGGGTCTACCATCCTTCGGCATCTTGAACTCTCTGCAAGCGGCATCCAGGTTGACCAAGCATGGGTCATCCTTGTTCGGCCGCATGAGGATATTGAAGACTTGCTTTCCAGTCCACAACATCTGGGGTTTCAGCACGGAGGGAGGGGGAAGATCGAAGCGGGTTTGAGGACCAAGCATGTAAAGACAGATCTGGGTGAACGAGCGACGATCGAAGAAGTTGTCCTTGCTACTGAGGACGTAAGCAGCACTGATGAAATCCTGGATAGCAGAAATAATAGGCTCTCCGTTCTTGGGTGTGGCCAAGTTGTTCTTGACACCCATGAGTTCCATGGCTTCAGCGCGCGCTTCTTCCGTCTGGGGAACGTGCAGGTTCATCTCGTCACCGTCGAAATCAGCGTTGTAAGGGTTGCAGACACACTCGTTGAGACGGAAAGTCCGGTGCGGGCGGACTTTCGCAAAGTGGGAAAGGATACTGAGTTTGTGCAGGGACGGTTGGCGGTTGAACAGAACAATATCACCATCCTCAATATGACGCTCGATAACATCTCCCTCCTGGAGCTGGTCGGCGATCATGTTCAAGTTACCATACTTGAGGAAGAGCTTGAACGTCTGACCCTTCTTGGTGATATAGTTCGCTCCAGGCCACTTCTTCGTTCCGTTCCGGACTCTCTGCTGCAGCTTCTCCTTGTTGTAGCGAGTCACGACTTCCGGATAGGTCATGTTCTTCGCCACAAGCTCAGGAACAGCTACCTCGTCGACGCGCAAGTTAGGATCGGGAGAAATGACCGTACGGCCGGAGAAGTCGACACGCTTTCCCGACAAGTTACCACGGAAACGACCCTGTTTTCCCTTCAAGCGCTGTACAAAACCGCGAATGGGCTTTCCCAAATCTGCCTTGTTCAAACCCGGAACGTCACTGTTGATGTACACAGCAATCTGCAGCTGCATGTAGTCCCAACATTCCATGATGGTTTGCACTGGCGCACCCTTCAGCAGCGCATTCTTGAGGTTGATGTTACTCTGGACAATATCTCCCAACTTGGCAGTCAAATCGTCCTCGGTCGAGGCCGCGTCTTGACCAACGGAGGGACGGATACAGACTGGAGGAGCAGGGATGAACTGCCAGAGAAACATCTCTGGTCTAGCCTCCTTCGGGTCTAGACCCAGCAATTCACAATCCGTATCGGAGATCTTCTTGAACAGGTTCAGCACGCGCAAGGCGTTCATATCATCCTGGGCCTTCTTGTAATGCTTTTCGACCTCGGCATTTGATGTACGCGCTTCGTCGAAGGACCGGTCAAAGACAATCTTGCTGGGCGGGGGCACCTTCTTGACGGAAGTCGAGGCGTTGAAGGCACGGAATTTGTCGTGGGTGATCTTCAGCGCGCTGGTACCGGCCTTCTTGACCACACCGTTTACGGCACCGCAGTTCTCGCAGTTGCGGGTCTTCTTGCACCGCTCGTTGATGCGCTTCGCAATCTGCATCCGTCGCAAGTTGTCCAGGCCGGGGCGACGCATTTCGCGGAGGAAGGCACGGCGATCGGCTTCGGGGAGGAGGATGTGAGAGCATTCTTTGCAGATTTCTTGGAGAATGGTGATGACTCGCTTGAAGTAACCGACGTGGAAGGAAGGCAGGACGAGCCTGACGTGACCGAAGTGTCCGTTACAGACCTGGAGGGCGCCACCACAGGTTTGACATGTCGAGGTCTTGTTCGAGATACCCATGCGCGCGTCGAGGGGGCCATTGGCGACTACGGCTCGGTCATGTTCGAGATCGAAGAATTTCCGGTCGGAGACCTCCACCACACCTTGGCTGACGATGTCGTCGTTGGACCTTCGCAAGACAGAGTCAGCATCCCCTCTCCAGGTTGCTTCCGCGACACAGGAAGACGAGGCGGGGGAGGAAGACGGAAGGAGTTAAGAGCCCCAAAGATTACTTACAGGACACCGAACTTCAGTTCCTTGATGACTTTGGGGACGCGGTCAATGACCTGGGCCTTGCCCAGGTCGACCTGCACACCTTCTGGAGGCTGCATCACGGTGGTCAAATGATGATCATGGCAAGATGACAGTGACTCAGCGGAGATGGATGCGACGGCACTGGAATGAGTGCGCTCGCAAGAGGTATTCACCGCAGTAGTCGAGAGTAAAACCGTCAAACCAAGCGGCACGCCACCTCAGACCAGTCAGTGATTTGCGGTAGAATCGGAGAAAAGACGGCGACGACGGGAGGGGAGAGGGGGGGAGAAATTGCAGACCATTGCGGCGGCGGGGTCGGCGACGACGAACTTTTCTGCGGTTAAATTGGAAGCTCCGTCCGAGGCCAGCTTCCCCCGGTCCGTCCAATCACAGTGTGCGGATACGGCTGCGGCATTCTTCACTCGGCCACAGTCTAGGGGAGTACACTGCAGTAACTTAGTACTAATTGGTATAATTAGTACTACTGCATTTAGAAATTATGGATTTCATGGATTGAAAAAAAAAAAAACAAAACACGTATATATGGTATAAGCTATATGTTGAGAACTATGGTACAGTTGATATGTGAAACCCACCCTGCTGTTGCCTCCTTATTTCGACAAGAAATTCTGGAATGCCTTCTGTTCAATCACCACATTGCCCACAGCCCGGAGTCTCTTGCGACCCTCCTTCTGCTTCTCCAACAGTTTGCGGCGTCGACTGACATCACTAGCATGAAGCTTGGCCAGGACATCCTTCCGATAGGGCTTCACGGTCTCACGAGCCACGACCTTGCGCCCAACAGCTGCCTGGATGATAATCTCGAAGAGTTGGCGGTCCACATGCTCCTTGAATTTCGTCACCCATTGACGACCAAGTCGATCCGCTTGGCTGTAGTGGACGATGCGAGCGACAGCATCCACCGGGGCTTTGTTGACCAACAGCTGCAGCTTAACAATACTGCTCGGTCTCCAGGCCGACTCTTCATAATCCAGAGAGGCATAGCCCTTCGTGTTACCCTTGAGCTTACCGAAGAAGTCGTCGACCAACTGCGCCAATGGAAGTTCGTACTTGAGAATAACCTGAGTAGACGTGAAGTACTCGAGGCTCTTCTGTTCTCCACGGTTGTTTTCACAGAGTTCGATGACCTTTCCTAGGTACTCATCCGGGAAAGTCAGAGTGGCCGTAACGTAGGGCTCGTGAAATTCCAGGACCTTCGCGCGTGCTGATTCGTCGTCGGGGAACTTGGCCGGGTTACTGATGATCTCCTCTCTGCCGTCCTTGTACACGATCTTCACGGGAACTGACGGAGGAGTAATGATAATACTGGCTCCGTGCTCCTGGCGCAGACGATCCTCGAAAACAGAGCAGTGAAGAGTTCCCAGGAAGCCCAAGCGGAAACCGGCACCCAAAGCCTCTGAGGACTCCTTCTGCACTGTGATACTTCTGTCATTCAACATGAGCTGATTGATACTGTCCTCCAGGTGCTCGAAATGATCTGCATCGACAGGGTAGGCGGCCACGAAAACCATCGACTTAGGCTCTTCAAAACCCGGTAGCGGTTCCACAAGCTTTTCCGATCCCACTTTCGTGTACGTATCACCAATCTTAGCTTCCTTACTCCGCTTCATGCCCGGGTTGAAGTAGACGTAGCCAACTTGGCCCGCACGGAGCACCGTCTGTGGGGTCTCATTCGGGTACATGATGCCGACTTCGCCGACGTAATACTTGAGTCCCGTAGCGAAAGAAACAAGCTGATCTCCCGCTCGGATCTCGCCATCGAACACACGGACCAAGCAGATCACACCCTTGTAAGAATCGTACCAGGAATCGACGAGGAGCATGCGCAGGGGCTTGGTGAAGTCACCGACAGGGCTGTTTCGGTCAGCTGGGATCATCAGCAAGAAAATGGGCTAGGGATGCATACGCTGGAATCTTATCGACGACCGTAGGAAGCAGCTGCTCCACGTTGAGGCCAGTCTTAGCCGAGACCAACACTGCGCTCTCCGTGTCTAGTTCAAAAGAATGCTTCATCTGCTCCAGAGCACGCTGGGGCTCGGCCGAGGGCAGATCCACTTTGTTAATGACAGGGATCAACTCCAGACCCTGCGAGAAAGCGAGATAGAAGTTGGCAACGGTTTGCGCCTGAATGCCCTGACTGGCATCAACCAAGAGCAAGGCGCCTCCGCAACTGGCGTAACTGCGCGAAACCTCCGCACGGAAGTCCACATGGCCCGGGGTATCAACAAGATGGAGCAGGTAATCCTCCCCCTCATGGTTATAAATCATCGTACATGTCTGCGCCTTGACCGTGATACCACGTTCCCGTTCCACATCGAGCTTGTCCAGCACCTGCTTGTTACTTCCTGGTTGGATCGTACCCGTCAATTCCAGCAACCGGTCGGACAACGTGCTCTTTCCATGGTCGACGTGGGCAACGATGCAAAAATTGCGATATCGATCGATCGGGATAGCGGCGATTCTGTTCTCGAGATCCGATGCATGGACAGTGGAACCTCTGGCGGAGCGTGATGCGGAGTTGGCGAAAAACCGAACGGAGGAAGAAAGGCCGAATGGCGGCTGGAATAGGCTAGCAGCAGAGCCCTTTGGCGCTGCGCTCAGCCACCTGGCTAACTGCAGGCATCCTCGCATTGGGAGGTCTGCACTTGCATGGGAGTGAAGTGTTTGATGGTGGGGGAGGGAGGGAGAGTATAGGATGGTCAGTGGGCGAGATCTTGCGGGCGGGAAAAAAAGGACGGCTTTTGCGGAGGCGCTCGATTTGCGCGGGCGGTGGACCGAATTGCCGCGGCGACAAATGGTGTAAACAAAGCATGATGAGTCCGTCACTTTTTCCACTGCATCTGCAGCTCTTGCCCGCAACACACAGCATCCGAAGTCCCTCCTCATATCGCATCATACCACTATGTCGGCTGCAAAGGATAAATCCAAGGTTCACAAGCTGTCCTTGAAAGGTACGATCCATGGCCTCCCAAGACAGACCGGTGCAGAACGCTCACAGATAGATAGGATCAGCGAAGTTGGTCGCAGAATTCGTGAGTACCTTACCAAGTGATATGGCTTTCTGGTATCTAATATACATAGTTTGAATACTCCATCAATTCTATCCTGTAAGTGTTTGTTTGATGATGGCCCAGCCTACATCGTCCATTGACATTTCGACCAGTTTCCAGCGGGGCGTGTATCCTCCGGAGGACTTCACTACGTAAGTGCACTCTACCTGAACTCTTTGACGAGCTCTCTAATTGTCTCTACAGGGTCAAGAAATATGGCCTCAACATGCTCGGTTGGTCTAATTCCATCAGTCTATGCCCTCGATCCTCCATTGATCAAGCCCAGTCACCTCCGACGACCAAGTCAAAGCCTACATCAAGAAGATCATGTCGCAATTGAACAAATGGATGATGGGAGGGAAGATATCGAAACTTGTGGTTGTAATCACAGACAAGGAGACTGGAGAGCACGTAGAGAGATGGCAATTTGACGTACGCCTGAGGTCCTCCCTCACCAAGCATACGGAGACTAACCGCAGGCACCAGGTCCAAATCTTCGGCAAACACTCCAAGAGCCACTCTTCCAAGTCGACTGGCGACAAAGAGAATGCTACCCCAGGGTACAGACTACATTCTTCTCTCGAAACCACACAAGCTAACCAACACCCTCACAACAGCGACAAGGAACCCCAACCCGCCAGCGTGGAGAAGACGGAGAAGGAGATCCAGGAGGAAATCCAGGCGATCTTCCGGCAAATCACCGCCTCCGTGACCTTCCTGCCCGTGCTGAACGGATACTGCACCTTCAATGTCCTGGTGTACGCGGACGCCGACTCCGAGGTCCCCGTCGAATGGGGCGACAGCGACGCGAAAGAGATCAAGAACGCCGAGAAGGTTCAACTCCGGAGCTTCAGCACGAACAACCACCGGGTCGAGACTCTGGTCAGCTATCGCCTGGCTGATTGATTGATTGATTGATTGAATTCCTTTGTTTTTCTTTTGTTTCTTCTTTTCAACTGGCGTTGTGGAATGAGAGGAAGGCGGAGCATCTGGGACACTTGACATTTCGGGGACCTTCATAAATCCAACCCATGTATTCTTTCCAAAATCGCACACAATGAACGAACATTAATGAGCCAAAGCACTCCTTCAGCTACTTAATATCGCTAACCGTACCAAGGCAATTCTTCCAACCCGTCGAACCACTCATTCCCACTCCTCCCTCCCTTCCACCGAACCAACGCCTCGACCACCCCCTCCAACCCATCGACATCCCTCAAAATCCCCTCCTCCATCCCCACCGTCCACCCCCTCGCCGCCCTCTTCCCCCCTAACACCCGCCCAACCCCATACCTATCCCCCCTCCACACCCCTATCCCCCTCTCCTCCTCCCCCGCCATCAACTCCCGTAATGGCGTCACCACCTCCGGTGGATTGATGCCCACGACCTCGACCTCGACTCTCGACTCGACCCCTCCCAGCCCGACAGCCGGAAAGTGCACCTCTGTGAACCGCGCCCGCTTGAACGCATGCGTCACCACCGTCACCCGCGTCGGGTACCTGCCAGCCACAGCCCGGAACCGGAGCAGTGAGAACAGGACATTCTGGTAGGAGTCCGTGGCGAGGTTCTCGGCGACAAGCCGTGTAGGGTCGATGTCTGGGGCGAATTGGAAGTAGTTGTTGGCGCGGGCCAGGTTCTAGTTGGGTTATGAGTATGTATATGTGACAATTGGGCTTGTTTGTGTGAGACTGTGTTGGGGGTTCATCGGTCCATGCTCGTTTTCTTCGAGAATATCGTTTTGATAGAATTGTGGGTGAGTGTAGTGTTAGGTAGATACTGCACCTAACTTGGAATAGACGGGTACTGTGCTATAAGCTAGGCAGGAACTTACAAGATACGATTCCCCTTCCGCTAGAGGCGTGCGGGTCGGTTTCGTAGGGCCTCTGTATATGTGCACCCCATCATTCCTGATCAGTTTGCATCCCGGATGTGCCTTCTTCTCTTGGAGACCAACTAGCCCGGATCGAGGGCACTCCCCGGCGGGGAGATCATGCTAGAGATAGCGGGGGTTTGGGTAGACATACCCCGAGAACACAAGCAGACTGTCCGGATCCTGGGCTGCGAGACGGAGGCCCGCCTTGACGTGTGCGGTGAACGTGGGCGTTTCGCCTTTCTGGAAGGGCTCGATTTCCCTTCAACAGAGTCAATATCCGGAGCTGGGTTCCTGGCACGAGTAGTCAAACAGAAGTTCAGAAGTAGTATACAACACGGACCATTCGTCCTCGGAGAGGCCGTGGGTTGGACCACCCTTGTATATTGCGTGGCAGCAGACGATGATTAGGTGGGTGAGCGGGTGGGTCATTATCGGGACACTGTGCAGTGATGGAATTGCGTTTCTGGTGCAGGTTTGAGGATTGAGATAGAGGTGGATGATGGAGAGGTTTGGAGACTACTGGGTACGCAGTTGATACAGCTACATACAGATCAAAAGCACCTGACTGATCGTTCAAGTGTTAGTGTATTACCTAAGCCGATTAGTTAACCTCAGTGGTTACACTACTGAATTGCGCCTTGAGAAATTGGACCGGAATAGCGATGATGATATTGACTGAGAACATGTACGAAGGGAGAAGCTCAGGCGCAAGCTCTGACACACCGATTTCGTCCGATCGAAGCTGGCCTCATATTGATAATCTTCCAGCTAAACATCAGTAATATACATATCGATCTGGTTAAAACCATACAACAATATATGGCCATAGCCCAGCCGAGCAATGTGAACGATCCGAAGAAAAGGTAGGATGGTGATGAAGAATAAAGAGAAAACGAAGAAGTAAACCACGAAAGAACCTCAACCACAATCAACAAACTCCATGCGAATCCCATGCATGATATGCAATCACAGAGGTAACTATGGTATCATGTCATCAACACACACAGATGGTTGCAAGGAAAACCAGCTTGCCAGACATAATGACGCCGAGAATTGACAGCAGCAGAGGCATATGCAGGGGTGCAGTGTACATTTTAAAAGAGTAAGTGTTTTTTGGTGTCTGCCGAGCAAATACAATGATGTATGAAAAGTAAAGAAGTGAAAAGAAGGTGTCGGCAGAGGGTATCAGAAGATGAAGAGGGGGAGAACAATATTACGTTTAAACCAACGGATCGTGGCGATATGTGCAATCATCACCTTTGCGGCATTTCCCGCTCTGCCAATACCGGCAAGGTACAGATCCTGCCTTGGGCTATCTGCCAGTTAGCTCGTTGCCTGCATAATGACTGGATTTGATAAGAGATACTTACGTGCTTCTTGCCAAGATCATTATGCCTGTTTCGCTTGGAATAGCTGTACCTGTCATCATCGGTCCCATCACATCCACCAGACTCGCGAAGGCGCTTGCGCTCCGGATCCTCAAAATGCCCATTGTGTTGAGGCGGGTTGCCCGCGGCGGGCTGGTTCTGGCCATTGATCTGGGAGAAAATGGCAGCGAGGTTGGGCGCAATGCTGGGTTGAGACGATGGAGCTTGCGGGGCAGTAGCCGCCGGCTGCATCTGCTTTTGTGCATTCATGATAGCCAGAATATTTTGGAGATCAATGCCCTGGCCTGTTGCAGGCTGAGGGGCTGCAGGAAACTGGGGCATCTGCAACATGGGTGGCTGAGAGGTTGGCTGTGGTTGCGGCTGCGGCTGCGGCTGCGGCTGGCGGAACATGCTGAACGTCCGTTCAAGATCCGAGATGGGCGCGGCTGCCGGCTGAGTCTGGGGGGGAGGGGTTGATTTTGGTTGTTGGGGCGCACTCTGGATAATCTTCAGAAGATTCGAAATATCGAATGGCGCTTGGGCGCTTGCTGCTGGCGCGGCTGCTGGCGCGGCTGCAGGTGGCGGCTGAGGTTTGACCGCTGCGATATATCGGTTTTGACGGGCCTGCGGAGATATTGTGAGCACGCAGTCGGTCCGTGCGACATACAAAAACGGAATACGCACCTTGACATGATCCGGAACCTCGCCAAAGGAGACCGCAACAGTTGTGGGTTCTTCATTGTCGGGTGGCGGGGGCTCTTTGGGCGTTGACGGCACGTCTGCAGGCGAAGTATAGAACACCATAAGGGTTGTTGCCTCACGATACTCCTGAGCCTTCCTCTCCGCACTTTCTGGAATTTCAATACCACCACGCTTGATGAAGTTCCGGCCACGTTCCTCGTAAGGCATGTCCTCGAAGTCGATTTCTAAAGGATTGTCAGTGACTCCAAAGGCCGACACCCGAGCATCCTCAGTGAGACTTACCGGACGGCAGAAGGTATTCGAGCAACTGTTCCTCGCGAAAGCCGCCTTCTTCGTCTTCCTCCTCGTCGAGATCACGGTGAAGCTTCAGCACGCTACCTTCACCCTTCACATCACCCGCTTCACGCTGCATGCGATCGCCGGGACCAAGCTCTTCGTCAGGATCATGGGTGAAGAGCCGGACTTCAGTTAGCGACTCGTCAGGCTTCCAGGTGACCCGCAGCCGGCGTCGAGCCTCCTTACGAAGGCGCCTCTTCCGTTCTTCTTCCGTCTCGGGCGACTTGGGTTCGGCCGGCTGAGCAGGAGTCGTCTCCTTCGGCTTGTTCAGGTCTGCCATAAGGTCCCCGAATGAGAAAGTT